TGTGAGGGTCTAGCGACAAGGTAGTCACTGATGCCCTTGAGGAGAGCTGTTTCCAGGTGTGGATGAGGCTGGAACTAGGCTGCAGTGGGTTGGGACATGAGTGGGAGGGGGCAGAGGGGACACGGCAAGCATGGGTGAGGCTTACCAAGAAGTTTGACTACAGGCCGGGCGCGGTGGCTCACGCCTGTGATCCTAACAGTCTGGGAGGTCGAGGCGGGAGGATCGCTTGAGCTCAGGAGTTCGAAACCAGCCTGAGCAAGATGAGATCCCGTCTCTACTAAAAATAGAAAAAATTAGCTGGGCATGGTGGCACATACCTGTAGTCCCAGCTACTAGGGAGGCTGAGGCAGGAGGATCGCTTGAGCCCAGGAGTTTGAGGTTGCAGTGAGCTAGGCTAATGCCACTGCACTCTAGCCTGGGTGACAGAGTGAGACTAAAAAAAAAAAAAAAAAGTCTGGCCGGGCACGGCGGCTCATGCCTGTAATCCTTCTGGGAGGCCGAGGCGGGTGGATTGTTTGAGCTCAGGAGTTCGAGACCAGCCTGAGCAAGAGTGAGACCCCGTCTCCACCAAAAATAGAAAGAAATTAATTGGACAGCTAAAAATATATATAGATAAAATTAGCCAGGCATGGTGGCACATGCCTGTAGTCCCAGCTACTTGGGAGGCTGAGGCAGGAGGATCGCTTGAGCCCAGGAGTTTGAGGTTGCTGTAAGCTAGGCTGATGCCACGACACTCTAGCCCGGGCAACAGAGTGAGATTCTGTCTCAAAAAAAAAAAAAAAAAGTCTGACTGCAAAGTCAAAGGAGAAATGGTGTAGCCAGTGACATGTGGGATGAGACGGGGTGAGGACATGGCTGTGCAGTGAGGTTCCTGAGAAGGCGGGAGGGAGGGAGTCAGCGTCAGGGGCCTGGGCGGGCCCTGGAAGGGAGGGGTGCAGTGCAGCACAGCCAGGACTGTTCCCACTCTCTGAGGGAAGGAGAGGATGTCATCTGCTGAGGGCAAGAGGGATTTGGGGAAAATGGGCCCAGACCTGGCCACCTGGGGACTAGCCAGGACCACAGAGGACGGCGGTCAGAAAAACTGAAACTCAAGTTGAGGCTGGAGGCAGGTGTCTGACTTTCCTCCCGAGCCCTCGGCAGCCTGAGCGTAGAGGCAACGAGGGGAGACGGCAGCCAGCGCTGCAGTCCGGGCTCCGCAGGCGGGGATGTCAGGAGGACAGAGGGCTCCTGGGCCAGGAGAGGGGCTCGGCCAGGCGGGGCTCTTCCACCTGCACCTGCGGGCTTCCTGCCGGTGGACGTGACTGCTCCTCTTACTGCCCCCGTGGGGCTTTCGTGGACAAAAGGGGACATGGAAATGGACTTAGAAGCATACCAAACCACCTCGCACCTGTAAGGATGGCTGCTACCAACAAAACGGAAAATAACAAGTGTTGGTGAACACACGGAGAAAGCAGAACCCTTGTGCACAGTTGGAGGGAAGGTAAATGGTGTAGTCTCCGTGAAAACAGTATGGCAGTTCCTCAAAAAGTTATAATAAAAATAGAATTACCATATGATCCAGCAAATCCACTTCTGGGTATATACCCAAAAGCACTGAATGCAGGGTCTTGAAGAGGTATTTGTACGTCTGTGTTCACAGGAGCATCATTCACAACAGCTCAAATGCGGAAGCAAATGCAGCCATTGGCAGGTGAACGGACGAGCAAACTGCGATACAGACACACGATGGAATGCTATGCAGCCGTAAAAGGGAAGCAGATTCTTCCTCGCGCTACAACATGCGTGAACCTTGAAGACATCACGCCAAGTGAAACAAGCCAGGCACCAAAGGACAAACACTATATGATTCCATTCGTATGAGGCGCCCAGGGTAGTCAGATTCGGAAAGACACAAAGTGGGATGGCGGTCGCCAGGGGCTGGAGGCAGGGGCAGTGGGGAGTTACTGTTGGAAAGTTTCTATTTTGCAAGATGAAGAGTTCCGGAGGTGGACGGTAGTGATGGCCACGTAACAACGTGAATGTACTTCATGCCACTGATGTGCACACTTAAAAACGGTTAAGATGATAAATTTTGTTACGTCTATTTTACCATATTTAAAAAAATGTTTTTAAAAAAGCCTGTTGAGAAGTGAAAGGGCCACAGGGTGGCCGGTGGTGACATCACACGTGCAATGTGTGTGACCCACGGTCACAATCCTGACATTGTGAAGGGACCGGTGACAAAGGGAAGCCCAGTGGCGCTAGCTGCGATGAAGAGCAAGGAGATGGGGCTCTGTTCCTGCCTGTGTCACTCTGTGACCCTGGGCAAGTTCCTTCACTGTCGGGGCCCCGGTGTCCTATGAGAATATTTAGAACAGAGGCCTTCTAAGGTCTCTTCCACTCCAGCAGTCTCGGATTCTGGGAAGCTGCAAAGCACGGAAACATCATCGAGCTCCAGAGGAGTCGATGGGGGCCGCTGAGACCCTGGGCTCTTTCTCGCGGGGTCCCCGAGGTCTCTTCCTTTCCTACTGAAAAAATTCATCCCTATAAATAGCACTGCCCTTAGTAGGAAGAGGTGTTTTTGACAAGGCTTAAACCAAGCTCAGAACTGTAGTAAGGCCTCCTTCCCCTGCTTTGTATGGCTTCAGAAAGGGCCAGGTTGGAGACTTTGGGACAGCCCCAGGGAGTGCAGCATGAGCCAAGAACCCTTGTGAAGAGAGGCTCCTCCCACCCCGAGCCAGGCTGTTTTGCTGCATTTTCCCTGGCTCAGTCTGGTGCCTGCTCCTCCTTCCTCCCGGAAGCCCTCCACTGCCAACGGCCCCAGCTGAGCTCCCACAGTAGGCACATCCCTCTGCCACGCTGCGTCCTCTTTGCCCGACAGACACAGCTTTGCTGGGCACACCTGGAGTCTCACACCAACCAGGGGCCTCTCTGGCTGGCGGGCACTCCATTTGTGTGCATTTGTATCAGAAGAAGCCTTGCCAAGGCAGGATTCAGAAACAAATTAAATGATAAAGCAAGGCCTCAGGCAGCCTTCTCCTGGGAGGTCCAGCTGGGGCGTGGTAGCTGGGAGAGGGGTCCGTCCAAGGCATGGTGTGCTTGAGGGGGGTGTGTGCACCCGGAGGGGTACCCCGCAGCACGATCCGCCGTGGTGCCCTAACCCACAGGGGCAGATGTGGACATTGCTCCAACAAGAATCCCTGGAGATTTTGCTGCTTTTCTCCATGCTGTCCGACTGTAGATTTGGAAAAGGCCAGGAAAGGAGTTCTTGGGAACAGCCAGGGCCTGCTGGGAGGCTGCACTACTGCTTTTGACCACCAGACAGCGGTGACACAGTGACTCACTGGGTGCTCAGAAAAGGACCCACCAGCTACAAGGTTCACAGAGCCCAGTGCAAATGCGCGGCTTCTTAAGAACTTTCGAGACATAGCGGCAGAGCCCCGAACCAAGCGCTGGGCCTTCTAAGCACCAGCACCTGTGCTACTGCACAGGTCACATGTGCATGATGCTGGCTGTGGCTCAGGAGCCCCAGGATTTAGCCCGGCCTTCGAGTAGCTTCTCTGCCTCTACAGAGCTCAGGACAGTGCTGCCATGGCAGGTGTCCCTTAGCTCCTACCTGCTTGTCTGTCCTTTTTCTCCCCAATGTCCTGCTGACTCTATGCACAAAACTTGGAAAATGGTATTTTCAGAGAAAGCCACTGGGGTGTAGTTTCTGCAAAAGAAGGTGTTTGGTTTCACATTTGTTAGGCAATTTGTCTTGGGAACTGGGGAGTCCCTTCAAGAAACAAGCACATCTAAAACAAGTATCTTATGGTTAAAAAAAAAAAAAAAGCACAAAGAATCCAAGCTCTGCAAATTTAGCTTAGTTAAGGCTCCTCATTTGCTTCTAAAATACCCACAACCCTTTATTTTTTATTTTATTTTGTTTATTTTTTAGAGATGGGGTCTTGTTCTGTCACCAGGCTGGAGTGCAGTGGTGTGATCATAGCTCACTGCAGCCTCCAGCTCCTGTACTCCAGCGATCCTCATGCCTCAGCCTCCCAAAGCGCTGGGACTACAGGCATGAGCCACTGCGCCTCAGCCTCCACTTTTATATTCAAAGCAGCCAGCATGTTCCAAAATGTTTACAGGCACCTGGAAAAGGAAAGTAGCCCAGAACTGGCTCCTAAGGTCCTGTCCAGTGTTTATAATTCTGTGTCTAAGAGCACAGGATGGAGCTGGGGAGAGCACTGGTGGGAGTCTGAAGTCTGACCTGCTATGTGACCCTAGGACCTGTCCTTGCCCCTCTCTGGCCTTCAGCTGCCCCTTCCATAAAACCAGGACATGAAACTGGTCCGTCCCCCCTGCCCCACCCAGCTCTAACACTCTACCATTCACCTTGAGAACGTCTGTTTATAAGCCAGACCAGGCTAAGGGGAAGTGAATTGGGAAACAAAGCTGTCCAATCTGATTGACAAGCTAAACAGAAGGAGATAATTCTTTTGAATTAGGGGCTGACATATTCCACATGTCCTCACTGGAAAAAAAGGGCGCTCATGTCTGCAAAGCTCCTAGCTGAATCCTACTCAATCCGCTTGCATCCTAAGCGTGTTACTGCACGCGGAGTGTGCTCTTCCTGGTCTCTGCCGGCTGAGGGGCAGCTTACAAAGGGAAAGTGCGGTTCCAGTCCATACCGTAGGGGCTTCGTGACCTTGGGCAAGTCCTGTTTCCCAACATACAGAGGGGGTTGGATGGGCCACTAAGGAGCACTTCAGTCCTAAAAAAACCACTTTTATGATTCTCTGAGTGTTCAGCAAATGTCACATAAGAGGTTATTTAGCAGTGACAGGTATTTCTGTGCCCAGTGCCTCGTTCTGAGGAAATAATGTCTGAAGAACAAACGAGTCTGAAAGGCCGGATGTGAGCTTCTAGTCTCCTACTGCTCAGCATCTCTGATCGCCGCGGCTGCTCGCGAGGCACAGGCGGAGACCCAGGAGTTACGCGAGAGACTTCCTGGCTAGCTCGGCGGTCCCGGCACCTACCCTTCTCTTTGGTAATCTTCGTCCAGATTTGACAGGAGCTGCGAGCCCGCCGCGGAGAGGTCGGCGGCAGCCAGGGGCAGGTCCCGGTAGGCCAAGCGCACCAGCTGCGCGGGAGCAATGCTCTTGCTTTCCTCCTCGACGTGCTGCGAGATGATCTCAACTTCAGAAATCCCTCCTTCCATGGCAGGCCTGAGTCGGAGAGGGGACAACAGGGAAGAGTTACCCTAAGACCAAACGAATTCTGCCACTGCTCAGGAAGAGGCTCCGTAGCCGAGTCTGTGCCGTGCTGGTGGAGGGCCGGGAAGCTTGCAGTTGCCACTCTTCCCCACTGGCCTCCCGGACAGGACTGAGGCCCTAACCTGTCCCGTCTCCTTCACTGGTAGGGAAAATGGAAGAATGGGAGGAGAAATTGCTCAGGTCTAAAAATACGAGCTTTAGGGGCAGGGTTCTTCGTTGAGGGGAAGAAAGACCAACTCTGCCAACCAGCAAAACCATGGCTTAGACTTTTAGGATCTGGGTCACTAAACTTTATATTGAGTAATACATTCTTTTAAATTGTCTCCTGGGTTTCTTTGTAAAGGTGCTTTGCGAGAGGTTTTTGTTCACAACTGGATGTACTATGGAGCTGACCCAGAGACCTGGAGAGACCTGGTGGGCCTGGGGGTAGTGAGGACAGGGGGGCCAGCTGTCCCTGGTTGTCACTCCCTTCCTCTTTGAACTTGTCCTCCCATATCTGCCTTTTTAAAGTTGGGAGGAGGGAATGGGGGTCACGTGATGAAAAGTCTGAAGCGTTGCGGGTGTCTTCCCACGCCTCTGTCAGGCTCACCTCGGCACTGCTGGCACCACTGGGCGTCTCAGCCGGGGCAGCCCCACCTCCCGGCCCACCAGGGGGTACCTGGCAATTTGTGAGGCATGTTTGGGTGCTACAATGACCACAGGTGGTCACTATTGACGTGTAAGTAGGGGCAGGGATATCACACATCCTGCAGTGTGTCTAACAACTGAGAATTGAACTGTCCTGCTCCAATACCAGCAGCAACCCCATGGAGAGCTGCTGGACTGGACGGTTTTGCTTTAACTTCCTGGGGTGCCGTCTTTGACCCCTTCAACACATCCTTGGCCCTGTCTTATCCTGTAGCATCTGAGGGGCTGGGTCTTTGCCTCTAGCCAGTCAGTGAGGGTTAGCAAGGAACATGGTGTGAATGGAGAGAAATAACAATTAAATATTTGAGGGAATGGTGAGGGTCAGTGACCAGGGTCATGAGGGGCTGGTTTTAACACTGAGGTGGCAGCCCAGCCTGCTCTAAACTCTTCTTGGGCTCTGGTGCCAGCTTGAATGCCACCTTCTGTGAGGCTCCTCCTGAGCCTCAGTTTCTCCAGTTAGAACATGAGGAGGTGAAGCCAGGCTTCCTCAGGGCCACTCCTCCTCACTGTACGATCTGAGAGGGGTAGGAAATACGGAGCGAAGCTGCAGCAGCTCTGTAGTCACAAGTCCCTGTGCTGGGGTGGGCGGCTCTAAATTCTCAACTTCACCAACAACAACTGAAATCTAACCAATAACACACAGTGGCAGTTATCTGGAAGTTTAGAGCTGAATACTTTTGCTTGGGTCATCTGGTAAGTGAGGGAAAAGTGGGATTTTTATTTTAATGGCATGGATTGGCTGCCTAGACTACCTGAATTCACCAAATAATCTCCAATGCCCTGATTCTCTTTCGTATGCCTTATTTGAACCTTTGCTTTTTGCAATTTGTCAAGCACAGATGATAGTTAGTACTCATCATTAAGTGACATTTGCAAAATGACTCAAGATCTTTAGAGGGAACAGTCATAGGATACGAGGCTTCTATGTTTCTCAACAATTGATACAGAAGTGTGGGTGTTCATGGGGGGAATCCCAGCTCCCCCAGATGTTTCCTGAAAAGTAGATGCTGGGTTGAATTTTTTCTCTTTTCTTCTGGACTACTCAAGGAAACTATGGATTGCTGAATTGAACAAACAGAACTTTCTGATCAGTAAGTTGTTCATGGAGGGTGAGTTTCTGAAACTAACAGGATATAGCTCCGAGAAGCATGGAACAAACTACTTCTGCCTTCCTAGCTTTCCTGACCTCCATATCCCTCCTGCCAGTGGTCACAGTGGCATTAGCACCATCTCCGACTGTGTGGTCATCTCAGCATAGAGACAAGGCCGCCTTGGTGGGAGTGAAGGTCCCACATCCTGGTATTGAAACTACATCTGGTCTTGGGTATGAAGAACAGCATGGTAGACCAAACATATTAATGGCTTCATTCTTTGCCTCTCCTTGAGCCCACGCCTGTTGCCTTGTGACTTTCAGCTCTCCCATCAGAAGGAAGAGCCTGCTTCCCCAACCCTTGATGCCTCCTTCAGTCATGTGACTTGTTTTGGCCAGTGGGATGCTAACAGACATGACAGCAGCAGAGACATGCAGAGGCCTCTGTGAATCTCCGCCGGTGCTCTTGCAACTCCAGCGTCACCATTGGGGGTAACTGGCCTAGCCTGCTGGGGGTGGGAGACAGGGGAGCAGAGTCCAGCCTCACCGAAATCAGCTGACAGCCACCCAAGGCCCACATTTAAAAGTGATCACAGCCAAGATCAGCAGGGATACCTAACTGACTTACCAGACACGTGAGCAACAAACGCTTGTTGTTGTGTTCTGCTGAGGTTCTGCGGTTGGCTGTTGCACAGCATTGCTGTGGCAACAGACAAGGGGTTCACACTCAAGATGGCAGAGCAGCCAGGACCACAGCTAAAGAGGCGGGACGGTGTGGTATTAATATAATAGAAGCAGTGCTGTTTTCACCTTAGTACTTTTACCAACCAGTTGCAAAGCACAAAATAAGTGACCACTTTGCAGGTGCTTGGTAAAATTAAGTGCTTGGTCCACATGGCATCTTAGGTCTGGGGAACTATTACAAAATATAATATTATAAAAGCAATTCTCCCTTAAGAGTTCTGCCCCTGGTTTCATACAGCCTGCTTTTAGAAACCCTCTCATGATTGCTGAATTTCCTTGCAATTCTCATTTTGTTACTTCATCTTAAGCACTTCCTAATCTTATCTTGAGGCTTACTTTCGAAAGGTTTTCCCATTTTTCTGTTGCGTCCTGCTAAAAAATAAATGCATGTAGTGGTTGCCTACATTAGAAGATCCTCATCTTATGGGAGATTTAGAGTATAACAGTTCTGGATGCAGAGAGAAGGTCCCAGCATTACTTACTGTGGATTGGTCATGTTGAAGGATGCAGCCAGAGACATGGGTTTTCTGAGGGTCTAGTGGGGCTCAGCTGCACTGAGGTGGGCTGTCAGCATTTCCAAGCGTGGGTTCTACGAGACACATACAAACAGTGCCTCAAAACACAAGTAGGAACTTACTGCCTTCAGATGCCAAACCAAAGTCCTCCTAAGCTCATCTAAAAATGGGAGTCTCTGGAACTTTCTTCCATCTAGCACTTTCTTCAGAGTCGTGCTACATAGATTCTTACAATCACCCTACGCAGGGGTAACGACAGGCATAACGTCTCTCTTTTTTAGATAATTAAACAGAGTCAGGAGGACAAAGTGGCCTTTCTGTGTCACACGGAGATGGTGGAAGAGCCAGGTTAGCCCTCAAGTTTTCTGACTTCTCACCTACAGCAATTCCCACTAGATGGCCGTGACGCCACAAAACAGCTTCACTTCACACCTCAGTCTTCAGAACCTCAAAAACAAGGTTTGTCTCAAAAACCTCAAGTGTTTTCCACATTTTTCCTCTCACTTCCCTTTCTTTTTTGGTAGCGCTGTGCCTCTATTCTTTCAGGCTTTTCTCTTTTCCTTTGCTCAGCTGGTCTCTTAATGAGAAAGGCAGCAGACCAGTGAAGCTAGGAGGACAGGCCCTGGACCAGACTGCCCAGGGTTAGAACCTTGCCCCATTTACTAGCTGTGTGACCTGGAGGAAGTTACTTACCCCCTCTGTCCTCAGTTTCCCCATCTGTAAAATGGGGATAATGATAGAACTAACTAGATGAGGAAATTCATGTAAGACACTTAGAACAGTGCTTGGCACATAGTAAGTACTACATAAATGTTGGCTTTTATTATCATAATTGCTATTTTTTTATAAATTAAAATTTCACAGTCGGTTGAATCTGAGCACATCCCAAAGTATTTGGGTGGCTGAATATAATATTTCCTTTTAAAATTTGGACTATGTGAACAGAATATACTTTTCTACCAACCAATGCTGCAGTAGCACCTAGAAGTCTTCTGAGAGATAGTACAATCCAGCAGAAAATACGCAAACAGACCCACATTCTGAGAGATTTTGAACAAGTTATCAGGGAGATTACTCAAAGGGGCAATCCTTCTGTAAGTTGCAACCTGCTTCTCCTACAAGAAATCGACAGATGAAACCTGCTCTCCTGATCCTGCAGCCCAGCCCTGAGGGCAGCTGGACCAGAGACAAAGGGGGAGGATGCCACGTCAGGCAAAAGGAAAAGCTGCTCCCAGGCGAGAAGTATGGGAGGATGGATGGTAAATGTGCAAAGTGAGGAAGCTCCTTTAAGCGTATATAATTAAGAAAAGACAGAGCTCAAGTTAAAGAGACCTGAGGAAATCCTGGGAAAGTCTGAACCCGGAGCAACTGGAAATGAGAGAGGCGCAGAGCTCTCTAAAATTAGAAGGACCTCCCTGGAGGAAGCCACCAACCATTTCCACACCAGATGCTCGTGGGACAATAAGAGCATGAGGACAACACCAGGGAGAACTGGACAGATGTTCTGTAACCACGCCTTACTGAGGGTGTCTCCTTCCCTTAGTATACCTTAGCAAGGGGGTGGGAGCGGCCTAGGCAGTAAAAACACAACTGTCTTCTATAGTATTTGGAATTGTGTATTAATTGTATAGTAAACTTTATAAAATTCTCAATTCCATAGCATGGATTTAATTAGTCTTAATCTTTTTTATTCTCTTTATAAAGCTTCAAGTTAAAGTCTTCCCAGTATTAAGACTGAGCATGAGGATTGTCTAACCTCAACTGACAATGAAGTTAGGATTGAGGTATCCACAAATGGAGGCCAGACGAGCAATATTTCCTTCCAGAATGGTGTGTTAACAAGCTGTGCTCCCAAATGAGTATTGTACATGCTACACAAGATAGTAACCCTGTGGAGAATACAATAGGAAGACCCTAGCTTGCATGGACCTTCCCGTCTGGCTGGGTGGGCAAGTTTAAAACATGCAAAACTCTAAACCTTTTGTATATCTCTAGTAGTGAAGAACAAGTAATAATTGATAAATCTATATTTATAAATATTTTTAAATAAACATGGGTTACTGTACTAATATATTATGGCCAATATAAAACATGCAAAAATAGAAATGAAAATGATGAAAAAAATTTTTGACTTTTTAGGAAGGAAAATTTCAAACATATACAATTGCGGAGAATTGCAGAGTGGCCTCTAGTTTCCCACCACCCAACTTCGACAGTTGTCAGCTCAGGGCAGTCTTGTTTCCTCTATATCCCTGCCCATTCCCCATCCCTCGTGATTGCTTTGAAATAAATCCAAGATGTCATTTCATTTGTCTGTAAATGTTTCAGTACGTAACTCTAAGGAGAAGGAGAAAGAAGCCTGTTAAAAGATATAACCACAAAACTATCATCAACCTCAAATCAACAACATTTTCTTAATATCATTAAATATCCAGGCATTGTTCACATTTCCTCCGTTTGTCCTGTAATTTTATTAAGGTTTGTTAGTTAGGAGCCAAACAGTTCCACATATTATGATTGGTTATTATGACTCCTGAGTTTCATTTAATCTACAGGTTTCCCTCCCTCCATCTCATTTTTTTTCCACACGGTTTATGGGAAAAACTGAGTCATTTGTCGCACAAAGTTTCCCACAGTCTAGATTGTGGTAGCCTTTAGTGGTGTTCTAATATGGTCCTCTGTCTCCTGTATTTCCTGCAAATTTTAATTAGTCTATAGCCTTTACTCAGATTCACGTTCAATTCTTTTTGTGCAACACTTTATAGGTGATGTCATAACTTCCATTAGGAGACACATATTATAATATCTTCTTGTCCCGCTTTTTATGAAATTAACAACTGTTGATGATTGTTTCCTAGATCCATTAATACATTAGGGTTTGCAAAACAGTGATACTTTAATTTTGTTATTCCTTCATTAATCAGCTTCTATGAAGACAAACTTTCCCTCCTCAACTCTTTGATTAGCCTAAGGTACAGTTCACACAGGGAAAGAAGGATAAATGCTTAACTTTCCCCCTTTTATTTATTATTTCTCAAAATAATGAATTGGCATCTTTCTATCTTCCAAAATGATCAATGAAGTGTTTGTTGTTATTTTAGCAGCATCAGGATGCATTCGCTCAGCAGGGAAGTAGATTCCCTGAAAAGGAGCGGGGAAGAAATGACTGGCCTCTCCAGCACCGGGGCGGAGGTGAGGGAGGACAGAGGGTAACATCACGTGTCGATGGGCAGTGGGCAGGCCGCGGCAGCTGGGGTTTTGATCCTTAATAAACAGCACATTTTAGAAGGCAATATCCCTTAAGACGATGGGAACACTAAGCCTGGATGTTATTTAAAAATATATAATATTTTCCAAACAAACCTCAAAGCGCAAGCCTAGCACGAAGCAGCCGTAGTCTAGCACTCTGTAAGTGAGCATCACTCTGTAAGTGAAGTGCAGCCTGCTGCCTCATAAACCTGACAAAAGCAGAAGAGAAACCTGTGTCGGGTTTACTGAGTCCGGCTCTGGCGGACAGTAAGGCTGCTTTTTAGCCTCAGTAAAATTCCAGTCTCTTCTACTTGTTGCTGATGAGTCTGTGTATTTACCAGTATCATGTTTGCGTGCTCTGGCCAGATCTGCAAAGTCCACCCTTCCCGAGCTGGCATCCCTGGAGTTGCAGGGCTGAAAAAGGCTGCTAAGGTCGGGTCAGTTCCCTCACCAACCAGAGGGAAGAAGCCACAATTCAGCTCACCTGTCCCTGGCAGCCCCCGGGTCTATGCCTCACCCCTTACGAGAGTGGCAGCCCTTGGCACCCCATTTCCATGGTTCCCACCCTGGTTTTACTCCAAATCACCTAGGGACCTTTTGGGAAATTAAATTCATAGGCTACATTGTAGAAATGCTGAATCAGAACTCTGCAGGTGAAGTTTGAGAAGTTTTAAGTTCACCAGGTGTTTCTGACACGCAACCATTCTATTTGACCCTTTCTGTCAGTGGTTCTCAAACTTTCTCAGGCACGAGACTCACCTGGGGGGGCTTATTAAAATGCAGACTGCTGGCTTCACCCATAAAATTTCTAATTTAGTATGTCTGGTGTGGGGGCCTGAAAATGTACATTTCTAACAAATTCCCAGGGGAGACTGATCTGCTGATCCACACATCACACTCTGATCTACTGAGTCAGAAAGTTTGCTCAAGGTAATATAGGCATTTTTATCCCTGTTTTGCAGATGAAGTTAAGTGGCTGCAAAGCTACGGTGGTGGAATTATCAGCCAAACCTACTCTGGCCAGGCTGAAGAACCAGAGATAAGGTACATCAGTAAAAAATACTCTTGTCTGAGAGGCCAGGCGGGAGGATCGTTTGAGACCAGGAGTTTGAGACGAGCCTGAGCAAGAGTGAGACCCCGTCTCTACTGAAAACAGAAAAAATTAGCCGGGCATGGTGGCACATGCCTGTAGTCCCAGCTACTCAGGAGGCTGAGGCAGGAGGATCGCTTGAGCCCAGGAGTTTGAGGTTGCTGTGAGCTAGGCTGACACCACGGCACTCACTCTAGCCCGGGCAAAAGAGTGAGACTCTGTCTCAAAAAAAAAAAAAAAAAACACAAACCAAAACTTTTGTTTGCAAGTAACAGGATACCTAACAGTGACTTTGGCAATGAAGACTTTTCTATCTTTCATAACAAGAGGACTGGAGGTAGATGATTCTAGAACTAGAGCAGTGGCTCAAAGACATCACCAAGGACTCAAGCTGTTTTTGTCCTCAGCTTTATAGAGGTATGAGTGACAAATAAAATTGTGCATATTTGGGGTACAAAATGTGGTTTTGATGTATGTATACATTGTGAAGTGATTACTACAATCAAGCTAATTAAAATATCTATCACTTCACGTAATTACCTTTTTGCGTGGTGGTGATGAGAACACTTGAGATCTAGTCTCTTAGCAAATTCAAGTATATAATATGTTGTTATTAACCACTATTAGTCACTGTGCTATACATTAGGTCTCCAGTACTTATAACTGAAGGTTTGTACCCTCTGATCAAAGTCTCCTTTTTTCCCTCACCACTCAACCCCTGGTAACCACCATTCTGCTTGCTGTTACTATGAGTTCAAA